GTTATGAACTGTATAAATAGAATATAGAGTTAATAAGTTTGTAGATGATTCAGTGATAGATTATAGAGTTAATAAGTTTGTAGATGATTCAGTGATAGATTATAGAATTGATAAGTTTGTAGATGATTCAGTGATAGATTATAGAGTTGATGAGTTTGTAGATGATTCAGTGATAGATTATAGAGTTGATAAGTTTGTAGATGATTCAGTGATAGATTATAGAGTTGATGAGTTTGTAGATGATTCAGTGATAGATTATAGAATTGATAAGTTTGTAGATGATTCAGTGATAGATTATAGAATTGATAAGTTTGTAGATGATTCAGTGATAGATTATAGAGTTGATAAGTTTGTAGATGATTCAGTGATAAATTATAGAGTTGATAAGTTTGTAGATGATTCAGTGATAGATTATAGAGTTGATAAGTTTGTAGATGATTCAGTAGTTTTGTGAGTATGTGCATGAGCAAGTTTGGAGACAGATGTCTAGTATTTCTTGCCCAGGGTCAACAGATTTATGGATATTCCCATGTTCTGAAAATGGAATGTGAGATGGAATGTGCTGAAACAAGACCAACTGAGTCTCTTTTCAGTCGGTCTGTATAGGCTGTGCTCAAACAAGACCAACTGGGTCTCATCTCAGCTGGTCTGTATAGGCTGTGCTCAAACAAGACCAACTGGGTCTCATCTCAGCTGGTCTGTATAGGCTGTGCTGAAAAACAAGACCAACTGGGTCTCAGCCAAACCAGTCTGGGTTGATTCTGCTAAAACAAGACTAACTGGGTCTCGTCTGAACTAGTTTGGATAAGCTTTGTTGAATCATTGCCCTAATATTTCTGTTCTTGTCTGTGAACTTGCAGTACCAGCCTTGTACACCATGCAGGAGTCTCAGTTTGGAGAGGTAAAGGAGAGCTGTGCATCAGTTTCCCCACTGAGATAGTAATCTAGTACCAGAAAAGACAACTGTCACATATTCAGACACAATTCACATCAAGATTCACACATGACTTTATCAATCCATCAGATAATTCCCACAGATGTCATTCACAGTGCACAGACGAGAAGCACATGTTTGATATACTGGCTGTATTTAAGAGCTTGTTGAGTCTCCCAGACTTCTGTGAAATTTGTTGTTGCACTTTTTTGTTGTTGTTGTTATGGTCGACTTCACTTGCATTCTGTTTATTGTTATCCTGTAGTCTGTCATTCCGCAGAGCTTGCATACATTGATTCATTCTTTCAGAGAATGGGAGCTGTGAAGCGTGTGTGATCACACACACCTCTGACATTTGATAAGGGTGATGACTAGCTATTGTTTGCTGTGTTTTTTTTTTTAAAACACCAAAACATTTTAGTTGTCTGCCTCATGCTGTTGAGGTCAAACCAAATCTGTTGAAATGTCTACAGTCCCGTCTGGTCAAACCAAATCTGTTGAAATGTCTACAGTCTACTCTGGTCAAATCAAATCTGTTGAAATGTCTACGGTCCCCTCTGGTCAAACCAAATCTGTTGAAATGTCTACGGTCCCCTCTGGTCAAACCAAATCTGTTGAAATGTCTACGGTCCCCTCTGGTCAAACCAAATCTTTTGAAATGTCTACGATCCCCTCTGGTCAAACCAAATCTGTTGAAATGTCTACGGTCCCCTCTGGTCAAACCAAATCTGTTGAAATGTCTACGGCCCCCTCTGGTCAAACCAAATCTGTTGAAATGTCTACGGTCCCCTCTGGTCAAACCAAATCTGTTGAAATGTCTACAGTCCTCTCTGGTCAAACCAAATCTGTTGAAATGTCTAGTCTCCTCTGGTCAAACCAAATCTGTTGAAATGTCTACAGTCCCCTCTGGTCAAACCAAAGCAGTGGAACTGAAAGTGCTGAGCATCACATGAAGATGTGTTATATCCTGCAGCGGTTCCAGATACCCAAAGAATGGACCACTATTGGAGTCTGCTGATAACTGTGTCATGGCTGTGGAAGCTGTGGGTTGACTTAGATGGCTGTTGGGTCAGGATTGCATAGATGGCTGTTGGGTCAGGATTGCATAGATGGCTGTTGGGTCAGGATTGCATAGATGGCTGTTGGGTCAGGATTGCATAGATGGCTGTTGGGTCAGGATTGCAGAGCCAAATTGACAAAACATAGCTTTAGTTTTTCCTACTAAAGCCATCATCGTAGTTACTGGCTCTTTGTTGGGACATGTGAAGACAACTGTGGTGCATTTCTTCTGTGGTCCACATGTCACAGCCGGTCAGTGACTACAAGGATCTCTATCTCTTATTTTATATTTACTTGATGACGATGAATTGATGACTTGATGAATTGGGAGATTAGACCATTTGTTTTTCTCAGTAATGTGTAATGGTCCATTAATATGTAAGTAATTCATTAACATGTAAAGGCTTCAGTCAGAATGTAATTAATTTGTTTAGTTTTTAATTAATTTACTTGGCATACAATTGTTATTAGTTTTTAAAAATTGATTTACTTCTGTAATTAATTAATAAGCTTTAGTTTTTCCTTCATAAAGCCATTTCATTAATGTTTAATTAATCTTTGTTACATGTGAAGACAACTGTTTGCATTTCTTCTGTGGTCCAACGGTCAGTGACTACAAGGATCTCTATCTCTTATTTTATATTCACTTGATGACATTAAGCTGATGACTTGTGTTGTGGATTAGACCATGTGTTTTTCTTTTGTATGTGAATGGTCCATTAGATAATGTAAGTAATTATCATGTGAAAGGATGCAGTCAAGTGCATGTGAAATATCTGTGAATTGCGTGTGATTATGTGACAGTTGTATGAATTGTGTTAAAGATGTGTGACATTTTATAAGTGGTGTTAAATAAGGGTGAAAGCTGTAAACATTCATGTGTAAGTATTTGTGAAACCTGTTTGAAATTCATTAATGTGAACTTAATTTCTTTAACGTTTAATTGTTTTGATAAAAGTTTTATTTCTTTTTAAACAAGACATTAAGCTGTTGTCGGTGTTTGTGGATAAACATGTGTTTTGTTTTACATCATAAACATGTGCATTACAGATAATTGTGTTACATTATCATGTGTGACATGATGCATCAAAAAGTGGAACACAGTTAAATCATAAACATGTGGAACAGTTACATCATGAACATGTGACAGTTGTATGAAAACATGTGAAACACAGTTACATCATAAACATGTGGAGCACAGTTAAATCAGAAACATGTGGAACACAGTTACATCATAAACATGTGGAACACAGTTACATCATAAACATGTGGAACACAGTTACATCATAAACATGTGGAACACAGTTACATCATAAACATGTGGAACACAGTTACATCATAAACATGTGGACACAGTTACATCATAAACATGTGGAACACAGTTACATCATAAACATGTGGAACAGTTACATGTGGAACACAGTTACATCATAAACATGTGGAACACAGTTACATCATAAACATGTGGAACACAGTTACATCATAAACATGTGGAACACAGTTACATCATAAACATGTGGAACAGTTACATCATAAACATGTGGAACACAGTTACATCATAAACATGTGGAACACAGTTACATCATAAACATGTGGAACACAGTTACATCATAAACATGTGGAACACAGTTACATCATAAACATGTGGAACACAGTTACATTATAAACATGTGGAACACAGTCATAAACAAGTGGAACACAGTTACATCATAAACATGTCGAACACAGTTATATCATAAACAAGTGGAACACAGTTACATCATAAACATGTGGAACACAGTTACATCATAAACATGTGGAACACAGTTACATCATAAACATGTGGAACACAGTTACATCATAAACATGTGGAACACAGTTACATCATAAACATGTGGAACACAGTTACATCATAAACATGTGGAACTGTCTACAACTCCATCAATGGTGTGTCTACAACTCCATCAGTGGTGTGTCTACAACTTCATCAGTGGTGTGTCTACAACTCTATCATTGATGTGTCTACAGCTCCATCAGTGGTATGTCTACAGCTCCATCAGTGGTATGTCTACAGCTCCATCAATGGTGTGTCTACAGCTCCATCAATGATGTGTACAGCTCTATCAATGGTGTCAGAGGCCAGTTCGGCTATGGAAAGGACAACTCTGATGATAGTGAATCATCACGTATGAACGAGTTGACCTTCAGTACAACTCAGTATGAGAGCGGACAGCTTGACCACGGAATAAACTGGGTCCAGTAAACGGACCAAGCCTAGTTCACACAGGTGACACGGATTACTGCGTGTTGAGCCATGAACTCGGGCCCGGAACAAAAAGCTTTGTCCGAGCAGGTTGAGAGGAGAGTCGTGCACTGAGACGGGACGAGACAACAAGACGGAACGCTTTGACTAGGTAAAATTAGGTTTAGTGACGGTTAGTTGGAATAGGATCTTTGTGTTAAGTATCTATGATAGGCTGTGTTTATATTTAATGTTTCTACTAGATGGTATAGAGTTAATGTTCCTTGTGTAGTAGACATTCCATGCAGTATTTGTTTGAGCAGTTAGTAAAGGTGTGACGCGCATTGTAAATGGCGGTAACACTGCCCAGGAACGCTTAGGCCATACACCTTACATGTATCGCTGAGTCCCGTGTGGCAATAGACAGCGGCTTAGTTGGCACTGATAAACTGTCAGCTAGGAGTCGTGTTCTTTGTAGATCCATGGGGACCTGCGTGGGTTGACCAGTGATTGTAAAGCTGCTCATCGCCAGGGGTTTCGGATAGGAACTGCCTGACGCAGTTGAAGTGTTTAACGTCGATTTGTTCATTGTACATTAAAGATTATGTTTGTACTCAGCAGGTGTGTGTCTGAAGTGTATCTAGGCTAGTGAAGTCTGTTAGCTGGCGTACCTAGCGAGCCATATTAAATGTACAGAGTAAAGTAGGTCCCTGACAAATAGTGTGTCTACAGCTCCATCAATGGTGTGTCTACAGCTCCATCAATGGTGTGTGTACAGCTCCATCAATGGTGTGTCTACAGCTCCATCAATGGTGTGTGTACAGCTCCATCAATGGTGTGTCTACAGCTCCATCAATGGTGTGTCTACATCTCCATCAATGGTGTGTCTACAACTCAATCAATGATGTGTGTACAGCTACATCACTTGTGTGTGTACAGCTCCATCAATGGTGTGTCTACAGCTCCATTAGTGGTGTGTCTACAGCTCCATCAGTGGTGTGTGTACAGCTACATCACTTGTGTGTGTACAGCTCCATCAGTGGTGTGTCTACAGCTCCATCAGTGGTGTGTGTACAGCTCCATCAATGGTGTGTCTACAGCTCCATTAGTGATGTGTCTACAGCTCCATCAATGGTGTGTGTACAGCTCTATCACTGGTGTGTGTACAGCTCTATCACTGGTGTGTCTACAACACCATCTGTAGTGTGTCTACAACACCATCAATGGTGTGTCTACAGCTCCATCAATGGTGTGTCTACATCTCCATCAATGGTGTGTCTACAACTCAATCAATGATGTGTGTACAGCTACATCACTTGTGTGTGTACAGCTCCATCAATGGTGTGTCTACAGCTCCATTAGTGATGTGTCTACAGCTCCATCAATGGTGTGTGTACAGCTCTATCACTGGTGTGTGTACAGCTCTATCACTGGTGTGTCTACAACTTCATCAGTGGTGTGTCTACAACACCATCTGTGGTGTGTCTACAACACCATCAGTGGTGTGTCTACAACTCCATTAATGGTGTGTCTATAACACCATCAGTGGTGTGTCTACAACTCCATCAGTGGTGTGTCTACAACTCAATCTGTGATGTCTATAACACCATCAGTGGTGTGTCTACAACTCCATCAAAGGTGTGTCTTTAACACCATCAGGGGTGTGTCTATAACTCCATCAGTGGTGTGTCTACAACTCCATCAATGGTGTGTCTATAACACCATCTGTGGTGTGTCTACAACTCCATCAGTGGTGTGTCTACAACTCCATCAATGGTGTGTCTACAACTCCATAGGTGATGTGTCTACTTTATCAATGTGGTGTCTACAACTCCATCAAGGGTATGTCTCCATCAGTGGTATGTCTACAGCTCCATCAGTGGTATGTCTACAGCTCCATCAGTGGTATGTCTACAGCTCCATCAGTGGTATGTCTACAGCTCCATCAGTGGTATGTCTACAGCTCCATCAGTGGTATGTCTACAGCTCCATCAGTGGTATGTCTACAGCTCCATCAGTGGTATGTCTACAGCTCCATCAGTGGTATGTCTACAGCTCCATCAGTGGTATGTCTACAGCTCCATCAGTGGTATGTCTACAGCTCCATCAGTGGTATGTCTACAGCTGTAGCTACATAGGCATGTGAGTCGTGGACCATCTCTCAGTCCTTAAGAAAGAGAATAGGGGATTTTGAGCTGAAATGTTATAGAAAGATTCTCAGAATATCTTGGACAAAGAAGAGGAGAAATGCTGACATCTTGAAAGATCTGAACATCAAGAAAGATTGGCTAATAAACAGCATCCTGTCTCGAAAACTGAAATATTTTGGTCATATCAAGTGCCACGACGGATTGGAAAAAATTATAGCAAAAGGCATGGTACCAGGAAGGAGGGGCAGGGGCCGACCGACACAAAGATGTGCACAGGATATAAGTGACTCCTTAAGTGTGAAAGTACATAAAGCGGGGAAACTGGCGAGAGACTGAGTTTCTTTCAGGCAGACTGTGATGAGAGCGACGTTCTGCAAAGGACCTGCTACATGATGATGATGATTGTTTTCATACTTTACCAAGCAGATTGGGAGTCGCCATGGCGTAGTGGCTAAATGTTCGCATGCTGATCAGAAAGTCGTGGGATCGCTCTCTGGCGGAGCCAGACTTTTTTTTTTTTTTTTTTTAAACTGAGATATGAGATAAGTATTATCACCATACAGTATACATACACAAACAAACAAACATGGAATTTTAAATTAACCAATTTAATTTCCCCAAATCAGATTTATTATTTCAGTTTCATCCAAAGTCAGTGTCAGTTGCTGCTTGTTTCTACATACATGTACTTCATCAAAGAAGTGACATACTGTCAGCGTAAGACACTGCATGATTGTACCTATACGTACTTCATTACAGAAATGAACAGTCAACGTAAGACACTGCATGCTTCTACATTCATGTACTACATCTTAGAACAGACGTATGGTCAACGTAAGACACTGCAGGTTTCTACGTACACATACTTCCTCATAGAACAGACGTATAGTCAACGTAAGACACTGCATACTTCTACATTCATGTACTTCATCTTATAACAGACATACAGTCAATGTAAGACACTGCAGGTTTCTACGTACACATACTTCCTCATAGAACAGACGTACAGTCAACGTAAGACTGCATGCTTCTAAATACATGTACATCACACAGAACTCATCTACAATCAACGTAAGACTGCATGCTTCTAAATACATGTACATCACACAGAACTCATCTACAATCAACGTAAGACTGCATGCTTCTACATACACGTACATCACACAGAAATCTACAATCAACATAAGACTGCATGCTTCTAAATACATGTACATCACACAGAACTCATCTACAATCAACGTAAGTGTGTTTCTACATCACACAAAACTCATCTACAATCAACATAAGACTGCATGCTTCTACATACACGTACATCACACATGAAGACAAGATCAAGACCCTGCATTCACATACTTCATTACAGGACTCGCGTACGGGCAATCCAAAAACAGGCTGCAACATATAGGAAGATCTGTGTGGGCAAATGACACGGCACTGAGAGGACTCCTTATCCTCATGTAAGGACTAGGCAACTGCTGACATTTACACAACTATAATATGTAAGCTTCTGCCTTGGCATTTGTGAGTTCTGTATTGTTGTCTGGTTGATAATTCTAACTTGTTCAGTTGTCTAGTTGATAATTCTAACTTTTTCAGTTGTCTGGTTGATAATTCTAACTTGTTCAGTTGTATTGTTGATAATTCTAACTTGTTCAGTTGTTGATAATTCTAACTTTTTCAGTTGTTGATAATTCTAACTTGTTCAGTTGTCTGGTTGATAATTCTAACTTGTTCAGTTGTCTTGATAATTCTAACCTGTTCAGTTGTATTGTTGATAATTCTAACTTGTTTATTGTCTGGTTGATTCTAATTCTAACTGGTTAATTCAGTTCAGTTCAGTCTGGTTGATAATTCTAACTTGTTCAGTTGTCTTGTTGATAATTCTAACTTGTTCAGTTGTCTGGTTGATAATTCTAACTTGTTCAGTTGTCTTGTTGATAATTCTAACTTTTTCAGTTGTCTGGTTGATAATTCTAACTTGTTCAGTTGTCTTATTGATAATTCTAACTTGTTCAGTTGTCTGGTTGATAATTCTAACTTGTTCAGTTGTCTGGTTGATAATTCTAACTTGTTCAGTTGTCTGGTTGATAATTCTAACTTGTTCAGTTGTCTTGTTGATAATTCTAACTTTTTCAGTTGTCTGGTTGATAATTCTAACTTGTTCAGTTGTCTGGTTGATAATTCTAACTTGTTCAGTTGTATTGTTGATAGTTCTAACTTGTTCAGTTGTCTGGTTGATAATTCTAACTTGTTCAGTTGTCTTGTGGATAATTCTAACTTGTTCAGTTGTCTGGTTGATAATTCTAACTTTTCAGTTCAGTTGATAATTCTAACTTGTTCAGTTGTCTTGTTGATAATTCTAACTTGTTCAGTTGTCTTGTTGATAATTCTAACTTGTTCAGTTGTCTTGTTGATAATTCTAACTTGTTCAGTTGTCTTGTTGATAATTCTAACTTGTTCAGTTGTCTGGTTGATAATTCTAACTTGTTCAGTTGTCTGGTTGATAATTCTAACCTGTTCAGTTGTCTTGTTGATAATTCTAACTTGTTCAGTTGTTTGGTTGATAATTCTAACCTGTTCAGTTGTCTGGTTGATAATTCTAACCTGTTCAGTTTTATTGCTATAATAACAACACTGAAAACATTAAAGACACTCTGCACTTTCATGGCAGGACAATAGCCAGTGGCAGCCAGCGTGCACTGGATCGCAAATTATTCCTCCCCAGGTCCCTTAACGGCAGAAGTGGTTTATGATGATGATCATTTATCAACACTTACTATCACCTAGTTTTTCCCTTCTCATAACATCAACAATACACACTTTCACTCAGTTTCCCACTTGTAACAACACAAAACACACTTTCACCCAGTTTCCCACTTGTAACAACACAAAACACACTTTCACCCAGTTTCCCACTTGTAACAACACAAAACACATGTTCATCCAGTTTCCCTTCTGTAACAACACATACAGTTACCCATTTATAAAATCAACAAAACACATGTTCATCCAGTTTCCCTTCTGTAACAACACATACAGTTACCAATTTATAAAATCAACAAAACACATGTTCATCCAGTTTCCCACTCTGTAAACACAAAAACACATTTCCCAACCACAGTTTCCACTTGTACACATACAGTTACCAATTTATAAAATCAACAAAACACATGTTCATCCAGTTTCCCTTCTGTAACAACACATACAGTTACCCATTTATAAAATCAACAAAACACAAGTTCATTCAGTTTCCCTTCTGTAACAACACATACAGTTACCCATTTATAAAATCAACAAAACACATGTTCATTTAGTTTCCCTTCTGTAACAACACATACAGTTACCCATTTATAAAATCAACAAAACACATGTTCATTCAGTTTCCCTTCTGTAACAACACATACAGTTACCCATTTATAAAATCAACAAAACACATGTTCATTCAGTTTCCCTCCTGTAACATCAGCCATACCTTCATTTAGTTTATTACTGGATTGCCAACAACAAACATAAAGTATTATCCAATTTCAATTGGTAACATCAACAAAGCATCTTCAGTTACAAAAATATAATCATACAAGGTGGGTCAGAAATATGGCTACATGATTAACTGCACAATTAATCAATGACAGTATGACTAAGAACAAATACTGGAAGGTGATTCTTCAAACTAAAAGTGTATAACAAATGACAGACATGTAACCACCTCAAACTGTTAGTGTTGACTTGACATGTAACCACCTCAAACTGTTAGTGTTGACTTGACAGCTTTGTCAATCCAATCTCAGTATTCAAGTAATATCTGTAAAGCTTTGGGGAGTCATTGTTTTCTGATGCATCTGCACTGTAACATGAAGCCGTACTTCTGACTCACCCATAGAAACTGTAGCATCAGACACCACATACATGATCCAGGTTTAATTATAGTGACATTAACCATGCTGACTTCCACTTGCTTTTATCATTTGTTTCAGTTCACAATTTTCATAACAATTATTTTAAGTGTGTCATTTACCTTAAAGTTACTGTGAGAATATCACTTGTACATACATTAACTAGGTTTATTATAATTACATCAACCACATATAAATTAGTTTAATTACTGCAACAGCTGCTGAGACCTTTCCCTGTATCAGTTTCACCCAG